AATTTGGCTATCCATTTTGTTACTCTAATGAAAGAGGACAAAGTTGATGAGATTTTGGAGGATAGAGTGGTGAATGAATGCAGTAGAGATCAACTTAGGGAAGTAACCATGCTTGCCAAAAGATGTTTAAAACTGAACGGGGAGGAAAGACCTACAATGAAGGAAGTGGCGATAGAGTTAGAGGGTTTGAGGAGGTCTGATAAGCATCCATGGGTAGAACATTATTCTGAAGAGGTAGAGAATTTGCTTGGTGGAACTTCAGATTTTCATAGCTCTAACGCCATTGGGTTTGACAGTTTAAAGGATAATGTGGTAATACCACTGGATGGTGGGCGTTGATTGTTTGGTATTTCTACAAGGCCCATCTTCCTTCTTCAATTTCTCTAAAAAATTCATGCTCTTGTTTACGTGTGAATTTTGTGTAGTTAAAGTATGTTTCTACTTCCAATAAAATGAAGAATAGTAAAACCTAATGTCATATAACACTAGATATTATGGTAATGCTCATTCCTTAACCATATTTTCTCATCTTGCTTCTCCACATGTTACATTTAGGTCTCGTTCTCTTTTTGGTAAATTACTTACTCGATTAAATGCAATTATTTGGGTAAGTTTTTCCTATGAAACACTTATCCGGATAAGTGCATTTACCCATGTTCTTTTATTTCTCATATAAATAAGGTAATAACCATTTTATCCATAAAAATCCATTATTAAAAGGGGCATTTTTGTCTCATTCAAGTGTTGACAACTTCCCCCTAGGTGGAAAAGTTCTTTACCCATCTACGAGATGGGTATCACTTACCCGAGTAAGTGATACCCACGAAAATAAACTTTCCCTGATCCCCACATAAATCTGAAAAAAAAAAAAAAACACGGGATTCTTGGTAATCAACTTCCCCCTCCCATATCAAAATCCAAAAAAGAATGCTCCCTTAGGTCCTGTTTGCTTTTTGGTAAATTACTTACCTAGGTAAATTTTTCCTATGAAACATTTACCCAGATAAGTGCATTTACCCATGTTCTTTTATTTCTTAGGTAAATAAGGCAATGACCATATTACCTATATAAATCCATATTAAGAGAGGCATTTTTGTCCCATTCAAGTGTTGCCAACTTCCCCCCTATGTGGGAAAGGTAAGTGATACCCAGGAAAATAAACCTTCTCTTGTCCCCACATATAGCTGAAAAAAGAAAATGAGATTCTTGACCAATAAGAACCCAAAATCCCATTGACTCTAGAAATATATATATATATATATATATATATATATATATATATATATATATTAATAGCAACTAGTTATTTATACCATGGTTTTCAAACCATTGTTGACCAGATGGTCGGATTGTCTGGCCCAAAAACTGTCTAAACAACTGGTTCTATTTCATACTTAACCTATTCCTTGCAAAAAATCTGTTGATTTGTTCAGCAACTCGCTGATCTGGGCAGTTGAACTGTCCACCCATCTGACTCGAGTAACAGTTTTGACTGTTTTTTATCTTAAATATTTGTTTAATTTTTAAATTAGAATAGGCCATTCATTTGACTGGATGGCCAAAAGAATTCCTGTTCTGAATTGATTTTTAAAACAATGATTTATACTCCCATAATGGTATAGGCACGTCTGTGGCTACCATGTGTTTGAATATTTTTATCTTTTGTTATCATCATATCTTTGTCATTATTCAGCACCATGAATCGGATTCTATGTTATTTTGCGCAAATCTTCGGGTGTATAAACCATTTCAAGAAAAAATAATGAAGAGCAACAATGTTGAACTAAGGATTGACGTACACAAGACTCTAAAATTGTGGTCTTAATATGAAGGTTTTGATAGAGATCGATTAAATCCCCACTCTATTTCATCATCCATGACGATGGCAAGAAATTAAAAGGTGAGAACGACTCATTAGAATGATCAAAATTCTTCTAATATCATGCCTTTCCCATCATAGATTTTTCCTTTTTCAACAATCTACAACCGGGTCCTGACTAACTGATCCATACCTAACGTAGGCCATAGCCCAGCCCTAACCTTAAGTTCCATTGAATAAGTAGAAAAAAAAAATTAAAGTGTGACATAAAAGTTAATTATTATTTATTTAAAAAATGAAATATTATGCAGTGCTCAGCAAGGCCATTGAACTTTCCCAAGTCCAGACTAGCATTATTTATAACTGAATAGTTCCTGCATGCTTAGTAAACTTTTTTTTTTTCG